CGCGCCACTGCACTCCAGCCTGGGGACAGAGTGACACTGACATTCAAGTGAAGTTAGTTTGCAGTTTTTTTGTGTGTACAGGTGTTATAGTTTTCTAATTTTTATACCAATCTTACTTATAAAAAAAAAAAAAAAAAAAATTGAAAGTGCTCCTTAATGATATATCCAGTCTGTTTAAATTCTTCTATTATCTCATAAACGGTTTTTAACCTTTGCTGGCTAAATTACGATCAAAATAAAGCTCATACATTGCGATTGTATGTTGTTTCTTAATTCTGATTCAATCTGAGATTTCCCTGCTTACTCCTTTTATTTATTTATTTTTGGTGGGGCGGGGGACGAGGTCTCGCCCTGTTGCCCAGGCTGCAGTGCAGGGGTGCCATCATAGCTCACTGCAGCCTCAAGCAGTCTCCTGCCTCAGCTTCCCCAAGTGTTGGGATTACAGGCGTGAGCCATCACGCCAGGATGCTCCTTTTTTCCCCTTTGCGATATATTTGTTGAAGAAACTGAAAATGGTTAAATCAGTGTGTGTCAAAATAAGAGAGCCAAAGATTAGAGGGTCCAGAGATACACTGGCAAAAATATATGTATTATATGTTTCCTTTCTGGAGCATACAATGGTGAGAATCACTAAGAACTGGTAAGAGTTCAGTAAGTGGAGAGGAAGAGGCAGAGAAACAGCATGAGCAGAAGGATGGGTAGAAAGTGCTAGAGGTATTTTAGGGTAGAGTGTCTAAATTCGCCTAGCTGGGGCAAGGGCTTGTGTAGAGGAAGAAAGAGGTAAGTGAAAATCTACCATGTGCTCAACATTTCACCCATGCTATTTTATTTTTATCTTTTAATTTTTTAATTTTTTTTTTTTTTTTCTGAGACGGAGTGTCACTCTGTTGCCCAAGGTGGAGTGCAGTGGTGCAATCTCAGCTTACTGCCACCTCTGCCTCCCAGGTTCAAGCGATTCTCCTGCCTCATGCCTCTGACTCCCAAGTAACTGTGACTACAGGTGGGTGCCGCCACGGCCGCCTAATTTGTATTTTTAGTAGAGACGGGGTTTCACCGTGTTAGTTAGGATGGTCTCTATCTTTTGACCTTGTGATCTGCCCACATTCATCTCCCAATATTTTTAATTTTTTGAGACACGGCCTTGCTCTGTCACCCAGGCTGGAGTGCAGTGACAAAATCATAGCTCACTGCAACCTCAAATTCCTGGGCTCAAGCAGTCTTCCTGCCTTAGCCTCTGTACCCTGTCTCTGAGTCACTGTATCTGATTCTGTGTTATTTTATTCAATAGAGCTACTACCTAAGAGATAGTGAGATATTATCCCCATTTTGCATGCCTATTTTTTTTCTTTTATTAAGAAGTACAGTCATTCATAGATATCCCATTTTTCAGATGAAATTGAATTTCAGCTGGGCGTGGTGGCTCACACCTGTAATCCCAGCACTTTGGGAGGCTGAGGTGGAAGGATCACTTGAGCTCAGGAGTTTGAGACCAGCCTGGGCAACATAACAAAACCCCATCTCTACAAAAAGTACAAAAATTAGCCAGGCATGGTGGTGTACACTTATGGTCCCAGCTACTCGGGAGGCTGAGGTGGGAAGATTGCTTCAGCCCTCGGGGCCAGAGGTTGCAGTGAGCCAAGATTGCACCAGTGAACTCCAGCCTGGGTGACAGAGCGAGATCCTGTCACCAAAA